AATCAGGTTATTAATATCATTTTTTAATATCCTATTGCTTTGTACCCTACTTTACCCAGTACTTTGCTACTCCTAAATGATGATATAAGTGGCAGATAACTCTCAATATTCTAACTCAACAAGAAAATAAAAGAATCAATTCTTATTTTTACAAGTTCAAAAAATTATTGCGACAAGTTAACTCTGAATACCAACTACCCCAATTATATTTAGTATATATATTTTTAGAAGTATTAAAATCTAAGATAGCCTTCTGGCTTAGTGTAGCAAAATCCTCAATATTAGAGAACACTTTAATTGGTACATATAAAATTAAAGCTAGAAAATACTATAATAGAAGAAATATAGAAAGGACCCAAAGCAATAGGATATTAAAAAATGATATTAATAACCTGATTTGTCAAATACAAGTTATATCCAAAAAACTAACAGCTACCTTTACCTTACATACTGAGATTGCACTTTTAAGATTCTGTCTTCTAAATAATAATAATAATAATAATAATCACAATTATAATAATAATAATAGTCTTAACCAGTTAATTTGTTATAAGTGCAGCAAACCTGACCATATCTCACATTTCTGTATATTTAATAGAATCTGAAATCAGAATTAAAATAACCAAAGTAGAAGAACCCAACCCAATCAGCCCAATCTAAACAACCAAGATAATCAGCCTATTCATATCTTACCTAGGTAGGGCAATATTAATTTTTGCAGAATGGAAGTAGATGAAGAATATGAACCAGGAGTTGAGAAAGAAGTAGCTTTTGTAACCCTGTATCTTGCTATGAACTATATCTCACCCAAAGATCAGATGTTTATTAATTCAAAAGATTTGAAAATAATGCAAAGAAAAGGTTAAAGAATAATCAACCTCTAGCAGAAGCCCAAATTGTGCCTCTATTTAAGATACTAGCAGATGTTAACCCTATCCAAAACATATCTCAAGCCTTAGTAGTTCTGCTTACAAAACCTCAACAAAAGAGAGGCCTCTTCATAATTAATCAATTAGAATTGTGTGATGTAGCCAAAGACATTATAAGCATAAGAGCTAATGTAATATTAGGACAATTGTTACAATATCTAGATTAAAGGCAATAATTTGTAAAAGCCTTGTGAAGTTTGTTACTTCTATTAGAGCCCTGGTTATGCCCCTGAGTCTATACAGTTGAATACTATTTAAGACCAATAGAATGAAAAAACTATAGCCACCCACTGCTATGTAAAAATAAAAAATAATCCAGTAATTGCTGTGTTGGACTCTGGCATAGTTGTGAGTATTATATCTAATAAAATAATAGAAAAGTTGCAATTAAAAATTACAGAACTATCCACCATCATAGTTGTGATGGTAAATAGTACACAAGTAAGGGTTTTAGGAAAAATTGTTGATGTGAAGTTGGTTCTCAGAGGAATTAAAGTCTCATCACCTTCCAAATTATTGAATCAAAGAATAAAACTCTTCTATTAGAGATAGATTGGTTCAAATGAACATGTGTCTATTTGTATGTGAATGAAAGTAAGTTATACATACACTACTGGCAAAAATTTTAATAAATAAAATAAACTATTTTAGTTAACTAATTAAATCAAACCTATATATTTTTATAATTAAACAAATAGGCTAATTTTTTAATACAAATATATTGTTATATATACAAAATATTACATTTTAATAGAAATTTATTATATAAAAGTAAAAGATTTTTAAAATCAACTCTCTCACAGTATTAATTCTTTAAACTTAAGAACAATATAAAACAAATTAAAAAAACATGTCTTACTTTATAAAATTAGAATAAGCATTAGTATAAATTTCTTGTTACTATAACAATACAACTTATCTTTGAATATTAGAAGTAATCATAAAATTGAACAAAGAATTTTTTTGAAAATTCAAAGAATGGTTTATAAGCAAAATATTGAAATACAGTCAAACCTCTCTATAATTACACACTTGGGATACAAAAATGTGTGATTGTAGAGAAGTGTGATAGTTATAGAGGTCAAATTTATTATATTTAATAATAGTTTGTTTTTAAAAAATATGCTTATAAAAAAAATATACATATATAAAGGTGACTATAGAGAGGTCTAACTGTATAAGCAATTTATAAAAATACAGATATTGGATAATCATAGAAAGTGTGAAACTATATTTATATATTATTATTATATTATTAAAGCATTCTAAGTTGAACCCAATCCAAGTTAAAGATATGCTTAAAATTCTAAAATAGAACTGGAGTAAAACTACAAATTTGAAATGGTTCCGAAATAAGCCAACCCAACATAAACCAAGAGTGGTTGAAGAACAGTTTAACTCAGCTTAACTCAACCCAATCCATTAACAGCTTTACATTATTATTATTATTATTATTAGATTAATAACATAATATTTTATATATAAATTATATTAATACGTAGTAATGAAGTTATAAGAGAGTTAACAGAAAAAACATAAATACAATAATTATATTTTCATAATATATTTATTAAATAATAATAATACTAATTTAGATCATATAATAATATTGGTAATATATAATAAATATAATGTAAACATATTTATCAAAAAACAGAAGTTTCTGTAAAGTTAATAAAAAATTTTAATTCAAAGTAACTTAACACATCACTCTAAGTATATTTGTTTATAAAATAATTTACACTCACCCTCCTAAAATTAATTTCTTAAATAAATTATAATTGGCGATATTGCCGGTGAAAATGATCTAAAAATTTAGATATTTTCTTATTAAAAAATAGTTTATAAAATTATACATTATATGATATAAAATAGTAATTCTGTGCTCGCCTCCTAATTATTTAATTAATGTTATCGATAGAGAAGTTTTATATAATTATAGATTATAAAATCCTATTTATAAAACAATTGTACTCACGAGCTAATGATTAGAGAAATTTCATTTAATTATAGATAATAAATTTTCAATTTACAAAATGATTATGTACTCACACTCAACTAATGATTTAATTTATGTAATAGATTAGAAAATATTTAATTACAGGGGAAAATTTCCCTACAAAATAATTCTTTACTCACAAACTGATAATTGATGCATATAATCGATTAGATAAGTTTTATTTTAATTATAAATTATAATATTTCAATTTACAAAATAATCCTTTACTCACCAACTGATGTTAATTCATGCATCGATTAGATAGGTTTTATTGAAGTATAAGTTATAAAAATTTCATTTACAAAATAATCCTTTACTCACCCGCTAACGAAGCTTCTGTATAATCAATTAGAAATTATTTAATTACAAGTTATAAAGTTTAATTTCAAAATAATTCTATACTCACGCACTAATGATTTAATTTATATAATCATTAGAGAAGGTTTATTTATGATAATTATATGTCATAAATTTCAATTTTCAAAATAATTCTATACTCACGGACTAATCATTTAATTCATATAACCAATTAGAAAATATTTAATTACAAGTTGTAAAGTTTAATTTCAAAGTAATTTACAAAATAATTCTATACTTCCGGTCTAACCATTTAAATCATTTAATTAGAAAATATATAATTACAACTTAGCAGAAACTTGAATTTTTTGCCATTTTATGATTATCATATGATAGTATATAACTATAATATGATAAAAATATTTTAATAAAAAATTATTATAAATATATGATAAACATA